GTATACGGGAATTAGTCTCAAATAATTTCCATTAATTCGAAAAATATTCAATTTAATCTAGAATCTAACCGAAAACAATAATATACAGGTAGGAATACTTTTTGACGTAATTATTAAGAAAAAAGAATTCCTATCTCGAATTATATTATATCACTTAGTGAAAGGGGTATTTAAATTCCAGTATGCGTCATCGTAAAAAGATGTATCGACCTTGTACCTTGAATTTATTGATTCCAATTATGATCGCCTTCTCGATCAATAAATATTTAGGGATCAGTAATATTAAAGAAAATGAATCCTTTCAAACCTGCTGAGCATGTTTTCAATACACAGAAAAAAATTGTATTAGCACTTCACTAACTTAGTGAAACGTAACTCGACGAAACTTCTTAAGTTGGAAAATACTGAAATGCATTCTGTAGATTATAAACAATTTTTCTAACCTTTCCCGTCACCTGACTAAGTGCCCTCTTAAAGTTGGCCTTTAACTAAACCACTTGGTGCAATACAGTTACGTTTACGGTTACAATTGCCGTTACGTCATACTTTCACGCCCCTCGTTTGCGACGAACAATTCTCCTGACACTTCTCGGTACTCTTGAAAAAAATGATTTTCTTTTTTTTCTACTTTTCGCCAAAACTATAGATGGATGCAATACGACTAATTGACACGAACGCCAGTCATCGAGCGTGGTTATGAAAAATGCCTAGAATGCAAAAGTCACTAATTTCAAAAATGTCGCAATTACGACCCATCGAAGAATACCACGTCGACGTCAAAATTCTTTTGAAACTTTCACATTTTCTACTGCGAACATTTAAATGGCATTTCTACCATCAGAGGTTTCACAATTCCGAGGATCAAAGTAGGCGACGAAATTCAAATAACTTATCTATTAATAACTTTCTGTAATGTGAATTTCAAATGAGCTTGAATATTATTCCCAGATTAGCATATCTGTCATACGCTTCGCGATTAAGACAGACACTTGCGAAGGAATCTGTCCACTGTAAATAGGGAGAAATGTTTGTTCACACTTTTTTTCCAGTCTTAATCAATTTTCTTATCATTATCCCCCCGAGTTAGTTCTTTACGTGAAAACTCATTTCGACATTCCATAAAAGCGCGGTGTGTATGGTAACAGTACTTACATTCTAATAAGTGCGTTTACTGTATTTTTCTTATCTGCGGGTAAATATCTATTTGCGGTATCGATCGCAATCGATTTCCTGGTTAAAACCGGACACTAAGTTTGCATAACTAACAGGCACAGGTATACGCGTTATTGCGTTAAGTTACTAAGAGTTTCTACTTCCATATTTTACTTTTTACTAATCTACGATTTCTACCCTTCGGCAGTAACAATTGTTTCGTTGATTCTCTCTCGATTCGTCGAAAGTCAATACAAATGTCCCGCGGTAAGAATAATTCATGAATATCCGTTTGGTAATCAAATGTTAAGAAAATTCAGAAAAGTAATCCTAAATAATGTTATAACATTGAAAGCATTCATTTAATGCTTAGTACATAGTAGTGAGAAGTAAGTATTATTCATTGAATCGGACGTTATGATTTTTTTTAATTCGTCAGTAAATCGTTGTCAGCCACCGAGGTGTCCCCGTAAACTACTATACCGCAATAATTTTAATTATTTTATAAATAAACAAACTAAGGGTGTTGTCTATGTTTTATAATTCTCGTCATTCAATAATTCTCGGTGAAGAATGTGAAATAAAAATGGTTTCTTCTTTGCGCAGATATGCCCAGGTCCTAAGTCCCTTTAATTAATACCGTCTCCCCTAGTAGCATGAAATATTTGTCCTATATTTTCTATACATTTAACGAATATCGTACATTTTGTAAATATTTAGCAGACATTTTAAATATTTGCAAAACGTTTACTTATCCCTATAATATTTATATAATATTAGCTCCATGTTTACATAATATTTTTCTACCAGATATACAAAACATTTCCTTTCATTTTAATACAAGTATTTTTTAAATGTTATCTGCCGAATACATTATAAACGTTTTAAAAATATTTAAAATCAAAATCGCACGTTTTTCTCCCATAATGAAATAGCGGGACGAAAATATTAGAAAAATTTCTCGTGTTTTTTGATACCAAATGAAGTGTTCAATAATAGTCGTGAAGTAAAAAATGTATTTCTATTATGTTAATAAGTTAAAAAATATATCTCTATATGTTTACAAATTATTGAAACTAAATATGTCATTGAGATTTTCAAGAAATATTTCAAATATCTTCGAATGAAATCTACAAGAAATCATAAAAAATCTGTCGCTTGATATGTTTAGCAAAGATTACAAACAAATATTTAGAAAATATTCTATGCTACTAGGGTCGTTTCTTGTACATCTTGTGTAAGTAGATGCACTTCTCAGTGGTCTTATTATTGTTCCCCGGGTACGATTTAGTTGTTTCACATTAGCGACTCGATTGATACAGGTCGTGTCAAATGTTGATGGCCTTGGGTTGCACGTCAGTCATCGAGTGCTGTGGGGATTTGTAAATGGGTTTCGTTTTTTATCTGCATGCTACGTATGCACAGACAGAATTCCATAAAGATCACCGACAACTGTTTCGAAAGCTGCATGGTCCAAGCGAAAATTATTCTTTAATATTTACTGCTAGAATATATTAATTCAATTTTGTATGTAATGCACCAAAGGAGGAGTTACTTCAGATCCAAAGGACTGTTTGAATATTTGTTTCTAATGACACTTTATTTTTTAATTCACAAGTTGAAGTTTGTGTCATATGCTTTTGATCCCCAATGACGAAATAATGCGTCTTCAAAAATTGTGATAAAGTCTATCGGTTACTTTGGAGATAGATGTTTTGAAAAAGCTCCTTCACGGGAGTAACCATTTTGGAAAAGTCCTGAAGTCTCTCCCTTGAAGAAATACGATTTTGACAGATAAGAGGCTTAAAAAGGTGAGGAAAATAATAAAAAGATCGTTCAAATTCTATGTTTAAGAGTATAAGAAAATTCCTAACAATGAATTACAAGAATACCTTGTTCACGTCGAATAACGTCAAAACCCTAAAATCTGTTACACAGTTTGTCTACCTTAAGGTGAAGTGAAATCCCCTTCAAATCAGTCGATTCGAATACAACACTTTTTTTTGAGGGTATTAGACCAAACTGTCCGAAATTTGACACATAACTCCTGAACATCTAAGAAATGTCCTGACACATTCAAAATTTGGATTTTCTAAACAAAATTTTAAGTCATCTCAGACCAGAACCAAAATGGCGTCGGGCTATCATATTTCGATCAATATACAATTATCGAAGGCTCTGATATGAGAAATGAAAGTGTCAGGATAATTTTACGACAATTTAGAACACTCTGGCAATCGATAAACTCGCATTTGAACGGGATAAAGGCAAAAAAAGTGTTGTGTGCGCTTCTATGCCAAAACGATGGGAATACGAGGTCTCGGAGTGAAAATTTAATTGACCTGGAAATTACATATGGCGCAGGGGGTCCCTCTGCAGTCAATTAGGACCCCAGAAAGCATGAATTCAGAGGATTTCTGGAGTTTTACTTCGATTTCTTGATATTTATTGTACGAAAACGACAGGTGGAGTATGCCATTTGGTACAATATCCAATATAATTCGATACAGCTGTCAATATAAAAACGAACGTCGTCAACGTGGGCATTTAGAAAAGTCTTCTTTATCGACGTCGATCAAGTTCCTCGACGTGTTTCACTTCACCTTAAATCCCTGGAATTGAAGTAAAGCGCCACATAATCAAGAATTGATAACACACTAGGATATGTTTTACTAGAAAAGCATTGCTAGGATTCTTGAAGACGGGTAGTCACTTAATATCCCTCGAGTACCTAATTAGGAAAATTTTCGCCGTGGAGAATGAAAAGTGAAGAAGCCCTCGAAGCTCAGTACCGATTTCACTTGATCGATATTGAATTTGCCCACCGGAAGTCTACGCCGGATGCACCGCCAAGAAATCGCCACTCGAAAGTGCAGTGATTTTCAGTAAAACCACTTTCCACTTAGCTCGAACGCCATATGTTTTCTCCCTCGACCATTCACTCTCGATCGGATACCGTTCCCCTCGAGGTAACCGATTAAACGGCTTCCCATATCAATTTAATAATTCCTTATGCTTCCATACCGCCCACAAAAAGCCCACTCCGTATCATCGATCCCCAGCCCGCCTGAACCGCATCTTGATTAATTTCAAAACACCATTGTCGCCGAAAGTTCGCGGAAATTAACGAATCAACATTACCAATACGCACACCAACGCGACGACATACTAGACACAGAAATGTAGAAAGGAATCATCGATTATGATAACCGCAGGAAGAATATTAGAAAGTCGAGGAAGGAACGCCGGAGCTTTCGTAAGACCATCGGCAAACCAGACTGACCACATATAATGATAAACCATAGAAAAATCTAGGAATTGGAGAGAATACAAACACGTTGCGTAACAACCCCGAGTACTTTACGAATCGATAAAACTGAAAGAGGACACATAAAAGATCCGTAGATCGATTCCCAACATTAGATGCACAGACCAACCGCGGCGGAATAACTTCACAAGGGAAGGAGGAATAAAAAAGATCTGCACTGTTAAAACCGTACGTCCACTTTTCACCACCGTTAAGACCACTAAGTGTATCTTAATCGTTAAAGAATTTTGGAATTCGGCATCGAAGTTCGACCGGTAGAACGGGGAAGGAAATTTTCGAAAGGGAAGGGACCATTTTTCCTTTCGCTTTTTTACTCCTTATCATTAACCCTTTGAACACTGAGAGATATCGACATATGGGCGAAATTCGTCTGACCGTGCAGGCAATATTGGACCAAACGTCGGGCGTCTTTAGGCGCTCTTAGTAGTCAAAGGGTTAAGTTAGGTACTTCTTTTGTTTATTGGAATACAGGGGAGGGTTATATTCGTCGTTGGGGATGGAAATGTCGATCGGTACTCACGTGAAGAGCGTAAGTTTCATGGTGTAATGCGCTTCTGGGGTCAGGGCGAAGTCGGGTCCTCTGGGGCGGAAGTGGTCCCTGGGCCGGAAGCGGACGAGAAGAGACGATTAAGAGGAGGTGGAAGAAGGAAGGCACCACCACTGCAAACGCGGAGGCTGTGTACTTTGGAGTGCCGAGCGGAGTTTCCCCTCCTCGCTATATATATGGCACTCTCACTCTGCCACGAGGACGCAGATACGTGCACGCACACGCACGCCTGAGCGGCTGTGTGCATGTATCCGTCTCCGTTAGGTGCACTTAAGTTCCTGTGGGACTTGAACGGGACGAATGCACCTTTCGGTCATTTTTACCGGGAAAAAATTCCATTTCTTCAACCTTTTTTAATAGGGTTCACGGTTAGTCCGATATCCAACCGGCAAAGACCGAATTTTGATTTAATGACGGGGATTTAATTTAAATGCTTTTGTCGAGAATCTTAATCCTTTGGCTGCTAAGAGCGCCCGACGTTTGGTCCAATATTGCCTGCACGGTCAGACGAATTTCGCCCATATGTCAAAATCGCTTCGTGTTCAAAGGGTTAAGGGAATGTGAAAGTGGCATCCGAAAGTTCAATCGTTCATAAAACTTTTCTACGAACTGGGTGTCTCAAATTATTTCATTCTTTAAAACGTTAATATGGAGACCCTAAGGTAGGTTCCCAAACTCGCGAAATTACATTTTTTATAAACTGTTTTTGAAATACCTATAAACAAATTTGAAAAGAATTTAAATTTCATGAGTTTCAGGACCTTCCTTGTAGTCTCCCTATTCACGTTGTAACGTTTCAAACTATTCGGTAAACCGAGTTGGGAGAAAAGTTATATAAACAAAACCTCTTCGATGCCACTTTCACATCACCTTAAGAACAAAATTTGGTGCGTGACCACGCGGATTGAACTTGAAAATTATAGAGAATTGTTACATATTAATAGTTCTTAATTATTCTTAATTATTTTCAATTAGAATTTCCTGAAATGCTCTTACGTGGTGGTACCGGTTGTTTAAAACATCATGATTTATATTTCCTTTTTTTACACAAATTGCCCTAATACTAATACACAAAGGTGAATGTGAAGGGAAATTAACTGTAAAAAAAGCATTGCGCTTTACGAAATGGATTCCTCTCGTGATATGCGAATTTACACGTACTAATGTGCTATAAGAAGCTTCAATTGAAAATAATCATTTGGTGTGTTATTTCGTGTCAGGAATGAATGAAATATAATTAATGATAGCATTTTATGTTCTTTTTGAGGAGTCTGGGGAAATACGTCTTTTTTTTTATTATTTAAAGAATGAATTATGAGAAATTACGAAAGTCTATGTGGATTTTTCCTCAAAAACTGTACTTGGATATGATAATTAGAAAATTGGATTAAATTGAGAATACTGGTGAAGTTTCATGTGTTATTTCATTCTGTTTTTTACGTTACCATTTACTGTCGATAGACTTATACCCGGTTCAGTTAATGACAAGGCTACGGGTAGACTTGTTCTGTATTTATTGCCTGAAAAGGAGATTGTCATTAAAGCAAATATATTAGCATTACAGAATCACTTTTCTTGCCCCATTTCCCAGTCATTACGTTCTTAGACATTAATGACCGAAGCGTTTTCTTTTCCCGCAGTGCAGATGTGTTAAAGCGAATTCTGGGGGCAAGACTTTAATTCCGCAAGGTTTTCTATAGATTCAGGTTTTTTATGTTTGTTTGCAAAAAATCTTGACCGATATTTTGAGCGGCTAGAATAATTAAAGAACTCCGGCAAAATGTTTCGGTGAAGACTGCTAACAAGAGTGCAGATTCTTTTGGAGTTTAAAAATATAAAACGAATCACTTAACGGCGGATAATTACAGTAATTATATGTTATATTTTACCTGGATTTCCGTGTTACGCCCTGTATACGGGAAAGAACGTTTAGCTTTGTTGTAGTACGTATAACTGTCAAACAACGGCAGAATTCATTCCGGTTACTTTAAAAAGACGTATTGTACTTTCTGCACGTGTTTCCTCGATATACCTTATACAGTTTTTGTACTTTGTTAACGTCGCTTCAGTTGTTCATAAACTTCAATAGCGTTGAGATTGAGTACAGTGATATCATCCGACTTGTTTGCAAATATTTTATACATCTTTAATACGTTAATAAAAAATTTGCTTAACAGGTTCGTACAAACCTGTAATTCGATCTTTAAAGTGAAACAATTACCAATATTACACCTTCTAACCTGTAATTCAAGGTTTAAAAATATTAATAATTATATGCCTTATTTACTAAATAATCTTGTATCAAAACTATTTCAAGTACATGCTCAATCATGTACGCTTTCCGTATATTAGGAAACGTTTACCAATCAATTAATACATTATTGCTTAACCGGATTAGCTTTGTCTACAATGAATAACCATATATCCTTGTATTTAATTTATAAAGTACATACTTTGAAGCACTAATGGCACTGCCGCATCCGAGATAAGCGTCGAAGGCTGGAGATTTCAACGACGGCATCGAAGGTGCGCGTCTTTAACAAATTACGTGTATACGTATACGTACATAAGAGAAGTTAATAATCATCCGTCATACAGTTGGGTATACTCGTAACGACAATCAGCAATTACTTTAATCGGCGTATAAGCTTTACAATATCTTAAGCAATTAACTTACAACCAAGTTCAAGAATTTAATCCCCTCGAAGGTGCGCGTCCTTAACAAATTACGTGTATACATATATGTACATAACAGTATAATTACTTTAATCGGCCTATGAGCTTTACAATATCTTAAGCAATTAATTTAAAGCCAAGTTCAAGAATTTAATCCCCCCTCGTAAAACTCGCTGCCGACTCGTTATCAAATTGGATTGTTAATAAAGGAAGATGGAGACATTCTAACGGGGACGAAAAGCATTAGATCGGCCGTAAGCAGTGAAAGTCTCTTGTAACTGGCTGAAGGCAAGAATGCCACCTCCAGAGTCCATCGTGTCCGATAATTTATTTCGTTTTGAATTATGCAAAAGAAAAGGGGAAGAAAAAGGAATACCCTCACACATGTACGAACGAGTACCACATACGCGGATCGATCGCTCGTAATTCACCGGGCTTGAATGGTGAGGAGAAAATAGAAAAAAAAGTCCCCGTTAAAAAGACGACGTTGGTGATAGTACATTCATTACCTCGTAAGGACGAGGTGAAGTGTCCCGTTGTTAACTCTTACCTCTCGCGATTGATTATACAATGGGTAATTCTAATTACTCCCGTGACTCATCCACTGAGCAAAAGCTATTTGCGGCACCGAGAGTGCCGAGAGGTTGTAGGACCAAATTGGTGCCTATTATTCAGAATTTCGTCATTTTTACTTAGTGTCTTTTTCTTCTTTTTTTTTCTTAACGTAGCATGTTTTATGGAATAAAAAAGAGTACGCCTGCTAGAGGAGCCAAACCTTTAAGACCGCAGAATCGAAATCGACGATTCTGCAGGGAGCTGCTTCAGTGTGAAAGTCATCGGGATGCAACTCTTCGGCAACCGTTCGGTACTGTCTCTTCTGACCTTTTGTTGAGAGCTCTCAGGTCCTGAACAACGATTTCGAAATCCTGGGACTGACAATAGGTCCCCGGATCTGCCTTAAATTAAAATCAATGATAGAAGAAACCGCGAAATAAAAAAGAACACTCTTATTTTCATTCAAGAAGCAACACGGATTTGGTCCCGAAAATCAACGGTCAGTTGTTAACATAAATAAAAAGATGTATACATCCACATTAATTACTCGCCATAAACAATGATTTCGAAATCCTGGGACCGACAATAGGTCCCCGGACCTGCCCTTAAATTAAAATCAATGGTAAAAGAAACCTTGAAATAAAAAAAACATTCTTATCTTCATTGAAGCAAGGCGGATTTGGTCTCGAAAATGAACAGTCACTTGTTAATATAAATAAAAAAATGTATACATGCATATTAATTATTCGACATATACTTTGGTTTGGACATACAGAATGTTAATGATATTCACTGATTGAATTTTTGTGTAAGTTAAAAATGCTTCCGATGCAGAAAATGCTTCTATGCATTATAACATTTACATGGTACTCTAAAAATAATGCGTGACAACAATTCTCGCGTTTTTGTGACCATTTAAATAGACGAATGATCGGTACATCAATTCGTCAAATTCATGTCCTACATCATTTCGTATGTAATTTCTCGTACAACTTTCTAAGTTGTTCATAAAGTGTGGAGCCATGTATTTGACAGGTTCATTACCATAATGCTCGTCTTGATGAGCTTTATACATACGTTTAATGTATCCTCAACTGGAGTCATGTAAAGGCAGGACGACCTCGAGTAAAAGTATCCAAACCGTAAATGATTCGAATGACTCGAATCAAGTATTATTGTTAGGCAGGTTGTTAGGTCGCCGCGATGGCCTGCAGTAAAAAGTCTTGAAAATGGGTCTTGCTAAAGTCTTAAGCATAAAATCGGTCTTACCAATGTGCACCTATTTCGTCGACAGTAAACTGTAAGGGATAAACCAAACAGTAATTTTCGCCGTACAAGCGCAATAAAATTGTACGCATAAGGATGTTTGCTCAAAATTACCGTGCACGCGGGATCAAAATCACTGTTTTCACTGTGAAATTTAATTTGTTTCTGGCAATTAATTCTGTTAGTACGTAGCTGCTTCGGGGAAAAATCCTCAGGTGTGGCTTTTCCTTTACAGTGGTGCAAGGCAAGCATTAGGTAGGTACAGTTTCGTTTTCTCCATGTCTTGATGCAATGCTGACCTCGAAAAGACTTTATACGAACTCTGGAGCCTGCGAAACGGAAGTGTTAATTAGAGAAAGAATAATCTGACGAAACTGGTTATTTTTTATTTTTTAATAAGTGGGAGATGCACGAGGCAAGTACATGCAGGGGCAGATTGCATAATTTTCGTGTCCGATTAAGAGTAATGGATTTTTTGTGCATTTAAGGTGAAGTGAAACCCCCTTCAAATCAGTCGATTTGAATACAACACTTTTTTTTTAAGGGTATTAGACCAAACTGTCCGAACTTTGACACATAACTCCTGAACATCTAAGAATTGTCCTGACACATTCAAAATTTGGATTTTCTAAAAAAAATGTTAACTCATCCCAGGCCAGAACCAAAATGGCGTCGGGCTATCATATTTCGATCAATATACAATTATCGAAGGCTCTGATACGAGAAACAAAAGGGTCAGGACAATTTTACGACAATTTAGAACACTGGTAATCGATAAACTTGCATTTGAACGGGATAAAGGCAAAAAAAGTGTTGTAGGTGCTTCTATGCTAAAATGTTGGTAATACGAGGTCTGGGAGTGAAAATTTAATTGACCTGGAAATCACAGATGGCGCAGGGGGTCCCCTGCAGTCAATTAGGGCCCCAGAAAGAATGAGTCCAGAGGATTTCTGGAGTTTTACTTCGATTTCTTTATGTTTATTGTACGAAAACGACAGGTGGAGTATGCCATTTTGTACAATATCCAATATAAT